ATTATTATTATTTGTGTTTGACAATTTTAAGATATAAATATGTTACAATATGTTTTCTTTTTCTTCTTTTTCTATTTCATATCTATTCTTTTTTAATATTATTGTATTTTATTTAATATACTATACAAAAGTTAATTTCATTTTTTTTATATTTTTGTATTTTCGTATTGTGCCTGATAATGGGTATGGTCCTTCTCCTTGGTGTTGCTTTAAAAAAAAAAAAGCGTGTGAAAGAAATGAATATTAGATTTTATTTATACACATACATATGTATATTGTTTCATATTTACAGTATTAATTACAGTAAGAATAACGAATGAGAGATTTTGAATCACAACTCGGTGAGAGAGTTCAATTCATTAATTTACAGGGGACATTTTACTCGTGCTTTATAATGTTTTATTCATTCGTGATAAGAAAAAAAAGGGGTCATAGGTTGGGGAGGAGGAGGATGAGGATGAGGAGGAGGAAGAAAGGGAGGGGGGGGGAGGCATTAGTGGGCATTTAATCGCCTCGACAAAATGACTAAATTGCAATCGTTTTACATTTACGATCATGCTTGATAAAGTTTCTCTCTTTATCTTAATCTTCTTTACCAACGTCATTCGTGTCGCCCACTTTAGAAGAACCCCTCGTGGTTTACGATAGTTTGCTATTCCGTCCTTATTATTTACTTCGTAATAGTCATCACATGACGCAACAAGAATGAAAATTCTAATCATACCCACTTGTTGGTTTATGAGACATATATGTATATCGTTACAATTGGGTCAGGGAAAAAATTTCTTCGTATTTATCGGATTGATTGATTGATTGATTGATTGATGGATGAATGATTTTTAAAAAAAATCTTATTACATTCGGAATGAACATTTTTTTTTTTATTTGCTAATATGTTTATTTGAAATTGTATTAATAAAAATATCTGAAAAGTGTGTAAAATGTATGATAATCGTTATGTAGATTTATTTAATTCAGTTTACAATTCATCTCTATCAAACATTGTATTAATTATTTGTAATTATATATCTTATCTTGTTGTTCTTCTTAATATATATAAATTACGTGTCACGTTGTTCGTTCGCAATGAACTTTTAAACTACTGAACCGATTTTAATCAAATTTTGCACACTTTGTGCAGTTTCATCAAACTTGAAAGATAGGATAGTTTATATCTCAATTTATAATCGCAATATTACTTTTATTAATAGCGAATTATTGTTGACTTAAAGACGGTATGTATCGGACTGATTATTGTGAGCACCCCTAGTATATTATATATATAATTATTTTTTGTACATACGTACGTGTGTTTTTTCGTAAAACATCAATCTGGTCGATGAACTCATAAAACATGCGTTCATCGAAAACAACTGTTATAGCCGAAAGACACATACACACATATATATATATATTCGGTAGGTCTATACATATATTTATGAATAGATTGAAAAAATATAAAGGAAATGAAAATGTTTAGTGATTTAATAAATAAAACAGAAAGCTTATTACAATTCGGTAAAATGAAGAGAACTATGAGCAAACTATGTTTTTTCATAGCCATAACCTTGTACGTTGTTCATGTTGACGTACGAATAAAACGTATATATGCTTATCTCTCTCTCTCTCTCTCTCTCTCTCTCTCTCTCTGACTCTCAACACGTTAATTCTCAACCATGTGTTAAAATCAATGTTATTTTGTATATTCTTTGCCTTAAAATTAGATTGTTTTCAAATTTCTTAGTAACTGACACATCAGTGTTAGCAATCGTACAATATGAATTGTTTAATTCTCATGAGAAACAAAATTAAAAAGTCCGATTAACAATATTTTTCTCGTCTACGAAAGATAATAAAGTAGATAATAGAGACATTTTTTTTTTTTTATCTATGTCCATCTTATTAAAGTTCTATGTAGAGTATATAACGAAGACCTTGACTTTTTTCTGTGATACTTATCTATATATGTATAATTTTGTCGGTAATTATGACAATGGGGGGGGGGAGGAGGAGGATTAAATCGAAAAAAAAAAAATGAAAGAATTATTTATTTGATAAAATATTAAAAATAAACTGTAATATAAAATAATAAATGATCAAAATGAAATTATTCAATTTTGTTCAACCGATCATCATAAACTTTTACTTTATCATATTAAAATAATTGTAATTAATGAAAAAAAAAACGAATCGATAAAATTCACAAATTTTTTCTAATTTTTTCTTTTCGATATTAATAATAATTGATAAAAATTAAATAATACTTATAAATAATAAATGATAAAATTATTCAATTTTTGCTATTAATTTACACCTTATTTATATCTTATGTGATATATAAATAACTATAAAAAAAAAAAAAAAAGAAAAAAAAGAAGAAGAAAAAAACTTAGAGAGATAAAATTAATTTTGTTATATAATTTATTTTTTCTATTTAAAATTCAACGTCATAATTATATCTCAGTAAACAAGAAAGCTAGCTGATCGTCGTATATACATACACGTGTCTATTTTTTTTTTTTTTTTTTACTTGGTTTTGATTTTTTTCTCTTTTTTTTTTTTTTATTTTTAAATTTATTTATTCAAAATGAATCCGTTATTAAAGGAGGAAGAAGAAAACAAGAAATTAATTAAATGTGTAGAGAAGAGGAAGAAAAAGGTGTACGGTGAAAGTAAAATCGTTTTTTATGTGTATCGCGAAGACGACAACGACGAAGACGACAACGAAGACAACGACAACGACTATTATAAGGGAGAACGGTGAAAAGTCAAGGCACCTTCTTCGTCATCGTCGCAATGCCGTCGACCGTCCACCAGAAATAGCATCATGCGTGTCCGTTCGTTCATCGTCATCATCATCATCGTCGTCGTCGTCGTCGTCGTCGTCGTAGTTTCTCTCATATGTTGTTTTTAACTAAATAAGTTGTGTCGTCTGCGCTCTTCTTTCATTACCGTCGTTTTCTAACTCAACAATATTTTACTATATATTCACAAAATCATTTTGAAATATGTTAAATCCCAATCCTAACAACACATTTAATCCATTACTCGGTATAATACGAAAATGGGGGGGAAAAAAAATTAAATTAACTGAATAATACTATTCATAAGTAACCAAATAAACAATTATTTTTTCAAACAATTGTTTTTATTTTTATTTAATCTATTAACAGGACGGGGGACGTATTTTCATTCTGTGAATTATCTTGATGGGAGAGGGGGTAGGGGGGGGATCTAATGTCACAACATTCGAAGAACTTTTATCGATAAATCTATAAAAGGTACTTTAAAGTTAGATGCATCTGACGTTTGTTCTCTCTCTCTCTTTCTATTTTTTTTTTTAACATCATTTTAAATTCTTATTTCGAAATGGTATTTTGTTGTAAAAATATATATATATATATATATATGTATATTAGGTGAAAAAAAAAGAAAATGTTTCGATCGAATTCGATTCAGTGAGCCAACGACGACGACGACGACGACGACGACGACGATGTCGGGGGCTGGCGCCAGGAAGTCTCGGTGTCTGCCTTCAATATACAGCCCTCGCCTTTTGACCTCGAGTTATATATCGAGTACATAATGTTCGTTTATATTGAAATTCATTGCTATGGAATCGTAAATTTGATGGGCATGTTATAATAGTAGCATCGGTGTTAATAGTTTGCAGCTTTGGTTAAAGACTATAATAATGTGATAGATATATATTATACTTTAATAAGAAAATAAATTCTCTTATAAATCTTTAATGCAGTCTATGATTTTAAATTGATTTACATTGTAATGTTTTTTTTACATAATATAATATATATATATAAGTTGGTTGAATTCGTATTAATACGAGCTATAATATTGGAAGATCCAAAATATTGGGGTTGCCATTTGCAAAAATAAACATATCCTTAAAAAACATTAAAAGAAAAACAATTTTTCAAACTTTTTCGTATTGCAATGTATAAAATCAATCAAAAACAGTTCAACTTTTATTGAAAGTATTTTATTTTTTGTCAGGTTATTGCAAATACTTGAAAAATCGTGCATACAGTTATATGAGACACACCCTATGTATATGCTTCGTTTGATATTTGTTAGAAAATTTTATATGATTTAAAAATATTACTGAAAGATGTTCACAATACATAAGACAAAAATGATCGATATTTATTCTAATTTGTTATTGCATCTTTTTAAACTGGTCTAATAATTTAACTATCTAGGAACATATATAGTTAATCCAATCGTTCGGTCAATTAAGCTAGTTCCCAGAAGCTCAAGTCTATTTTGTAGTACACCGAAGGCACATAGGCGTTGTTCACACACGTACACGTAATCATGCACGTATTCATGATGTACGTACGCACGTGAGAGGGGTAACGGTATCGATGAACGTGCATACATTTATATATATTTATATATATATATATATTTCTTCTGTGCACGTTTATGTAATTGAACTCTTTCTAAACGGCTGGACCGATTTTAATGAAATTTTGTGTGTGTCTTAAAGGTGGATTCGGTAATGGTTTAGCGTTACAATTCGATCCAATTTAAGTTGCTTTTCAAAAGTATTTTCCCTTATCAACTAATATCTTATATATCGACAAATTTGATTTTAACTATGTAAAAGTTCAGATATTTTCATATAAATACGAGAGTATATATATTAATAGTAAAAAAAAAAAAAAAATCGCAATAAAAATTATGCTATGACTACTCGTTTTTGTCATATCGTTAAAATAATTATCGAAGTTATCTCTCGGCAATTATAAGTAAGTCTTGAGGTTCCTTTTTGCGAACTATTATATTTAACTTTATCGTTTTATCGTCACGTGAAAATGCAAAAGTACACGCGTTATTTTAACTATACGTAAATGTATAATTTTATCGATATCGTATAGTTCAATTGAAAAAGAGATTACATATTTTATTAATAAATATTTAAACGGTGTAATTATGTTTGATAAAACAACCAAAAATAAAATCACTTGTTGTTATAGGAAACGGCGTGAGTCAAGATGGGATTGTGGAGAATTTTGATCTTTCTATTGGTAGTGGTCTTCATCGAAATCATCGAATCGAATAATCGTTGTCTTACGAATTTAGAAGGTACGTATAATCGTTCTATAAACCACCATGCTTTTTTTTTTTTTTATTATAGAAACAATTTTTCTAATCGTTTATTTCGATATGTTTTTTGTTTTTCTTTTTTACAGAAGTTAATCCAAAACGATTGGTTGTCTTCGATGGTCAAACAATTAATTTGCGATTTGAAGTTTCGCGAAGAATCACTCAAAGATTGGTTACGCACGTTACGAAGATCTTTTTGGAAGAGGTTTTGGGTTACAAAAATATTATGATCGTGGAAAAGGACGATGATTTTAACATACATCATGTTTACGAAAGATTGTCCGATACTGTGACCTTAGAACATAACAGAGTGTAAGTGTAAAACAACACAAATGCATACAGTAGATTCCCGTATAATGTGAAAACTGTATAGTAAATTGCGGTAGTTTCCCCGCATTTAAACATTTAATTTACTTTAATCGATCGATTATAATGTTTCTTCATCGTTATCGGTTTCTTTTGTCATCATTGTTTTTGATTAATTTTTTGTTTATCATTACGTTGTTGTTAAGGATAAGAAAAGAATTTTCTTAACATTTATATCTGATACATATGCTTTCATGAAAAAAAAAAAAAAAAAGATGTTAATTATTACGAGGAAAATATAAAAGAATAAAAATTACAAAAAATAAAAAAATCGTCTTTCAAAATGGAAATTGTCACTAAAAAAGTGATATTTTTTTATAATGTTAATTCATAAAATGAATAATATATACATAAACTATGTTATAAGGGAGTCTACTAATGTATTTTATAAAAATAGGAGACAAAATTTATTCGTTTTATTCTTATTACAAAAGGCCTCCCGACACAATGGTAAATATGGAGGTATGGATATTACCGCAGGAAGATACAATGCCGTTGTTGAACAAATACGAGGTGAAAGAATGTGGAGCTATTGCGCCACCGGGACATTTTAGTTGGTTCATACCTGAGAAATTATACACAATCGATGATAGTTGGGTGTCATTTACCAATCGAGAAAATGCAGCACGTTTTGACGTTTCCGAATTGACTCTACATCGAATTCAAAATTTGACGATGAATCCTAGTACAAAAAGGTATTACTGCGAAACGTCATTTTGTCAGAACGGTATGTACATTCCTCGACAATGTCAAGCTATCGGCAAACAGGCTCAACCTTGTGCTCTACTATTGGCTGGTCATCTCGATATAACATCATTCGTTAAAGAAGATATCGATAGTTTAAATCTTTACGTGAAAGTAGCTTGGGTTGGACCTCACCTGAGAGAACTGACGGAAAATTTAATCGAGGAATACACTTGGATGGATAACAGGTATCATATTTTTTATTATTTTAATAATACTATTTTGATTTTAACGATGTGTAATATATATATATTTTGATTTTCTCTCACAATTAGACAAAAATCACTTGTTATCGTACACTGGACACCAAGTACCGTAATACCCAACGCAAAAGATTTCGTTAGCATCAATTTTCCACGTTGCGGTACAAATAATACCCAAGTTGGTTGTGAATACGAATCAAAAAGACTGGTCAAAGTTGTTTGGAAAGGATTAGAATTTGCAGCTAAGTTTGCTTTTGAGAGCATCAATCGTGTTCAATTTACTTCTGAGATGTACGAAAATTTGATAGATCGCTACAACAAATATTCGGAAAACGTGGACGAAGCTAAAATTGCTTGTAGTTGGCTTATGGACAATTTAAATCATGCAATGTCCCATTGGATGCCGAATAATGCCGATAAGAATATTCTTTATATCGGTGGAATATTCCCGATGAGTGGTACATCCTATACAGCTAAATCTATTGTAATTGCTGGAAAAATGGCGAAAGATGCAATAAATGTAAACAATAGTATATTGAGGGATTACAATCTGACACTGTTGGCTAGCGATGGTCAATGTAAGACCGACGTTGTAATGAAATCATTCATTGATTACATCGTTCATAATTTTTATGAAAAGCTCGTCGGTGTTCTTGGACCTGCTTGTTCCGAAACTGTCGAACCACTTGTCGGTGTTGCGAGACATTATAAATCCGTGATCATCAGTTACAGTGCCGAGGGATCCAGTTTCAACGATCGAACTAGATATCCTTACTTTTTTAGAACTATTGGTGAAAATAGACAATACAAATACGTTTATCTATATCTACTTCAACAGTTAGGTTGGCATCGAGTCGCGTCCTTGTCCGAAGATGGACAAAAGTATACTGAATACATATCCTATATGCAGGATATGCTACGTGATAATGGTATTACGTTTGTAGCAAATGCTAAGTTTCCACGAGAATGGGATCCCGAGATAATAACAAAGGTGTGTGTGTGTGTGTGTGTAATTATTTAAAATGTTTTTTTTTTTCAAAAAAATTCATTATTATTCAAGTAGGAAAGTGTGTTATATATTTTTGTTCTATGTTCTCTTTTAGAGTCTTCAAGATTTGAAGCAGAAACGAGCAAAAATAATTATTGCCGACGTGTACGATAAAGTTGCACGACAAGTCATGTGTGAAGCATACAAATTGGAAATGACGGCTGTTCAAGTAAGATATGCAGCTTCATATCTAAAATTATATCCTTCGAATATAAAAGAACTGATCTTTTTATCGAATACATTTTGTTCGTTTTAGGGATACGTTTGGTTCTTACCTTTATGGCTTCGATCGCGATGGTATGATACCGATCAATATAATGAACAAGGCGAGCAGGTTCCATGTACTACGATTGAGATGACAAATGCAATAAATGGTCATCTTAGTCTGTCACATGCGTACTTTGCACCGGATGATGAAATCATGCAAGAAGGTATAACGGTACGGGAATGGCGCGATCGTTATGAGCGTTTGTGCAAATCGCGAAAGCTAATGCCGTCCAATTATGCTGGATATACTTATGATGCTATGTGGACTTATGCCTACGCTATAGATCGTCTACTTAAAGAAAATCAAAGCTACGTATTCGATCTTCACAGCGAGCAAACTGTCAATCGTTTGACTTCCATTATCAGTGCTACCGATTTTAACGGGGTTCGTAGTATATCATAATAACAACACGCTGTGAGAATTATTTCTATTACACAAATTTTATAGGTTTCTGGTCGAATCAAATTCGTTGGTGGACCATCGAGATTCTCTGTCATTAATGTCGTGCAAAATATAAATAATGAAACACACGTTACTGGAAAATTTTATCCAAACATATCGGAAACGGAAAACGAAGTGATAGGTGGAAGATTGGATTTAAATATTTCTGCATTCGTATGGTTATCCAAAACTATGCCCGACGATGGCTCGGAACCACCACCCAAGTGCGTTTTCAGTGGATTAGCTGAACTTTTAGATGTTTCTTGTGAAGTGGCTATCGTTATTGTCAATATCATTGGTTTTGGTCTTCTTGGAATAGTCCTCATCATTGGTTTCTTTATTGTCAAGAGAAAGTACGTCAAATTTTTAACAACTTTAGATTATTGTTTTTTTGATCTCTTTTTTTTTTTTTTTTTTTTAAGTTAAATTAATATATTTTCTTTTTCGTTTCAGGTACGACGAGAAAGTTCGCATTCATGAAAAATATATGAAGTCTTTGGGTATTGACTTTTCTAAATTGGACACATCGAGCCTTGATAAATGGGAAATACCACGAGATAGAGTAGTAATCAACAGAAAAATCGGTGAAGGTGCTTTTGGCACGGTATACGGTGGTGAAGCATTTTTCCCTGAAAAAGGTTGGTTAGCTGTTGCGGTTAAAACCTTGAAAGTTGGAAGTACGATCGATGAAAAATCCGACTTTTTGAGTGAATTTGAAGTAATGAAAAGGTTCGAACATAAAAATATTATCAAGCTACTCGGCGTTTGCTTAAAGTGCGAACCAGTTCTTACGGTTATGGAATTTATGCTGTATGGTGATTTGAAAACTTATCTACTCGCGAGAAGACATTTGGTAAATGATCAAAGTTACGAAGATTCCGATGAGATTTCTAATAAAAAATTAACAGCTATGGCCTTGGATGTTGCCAGAGCTCTGAGTTATTTAGCACAATTAAAATATGTCCATAGGTAAATTAAATTTATCGATTAGACGCTAGAATAATTTGTACAATTATTTCTATCGTGATTAATTGAAATTCGTTTCTTTTTTTTTGTTTTCTTTCTCAGAGATGTTGCTTCTCGTAATTGCCTGATAAATGCTCAACGAGTTGTCAAACTCGGTGATTTTGGTATGACCAGGCCAATGTACGAGAACGATTATTATAGATTTAATAGAAAAGGTATTTATCATCAAAAGAATCTTATAACTCTCTAGGATTTGCAATCTATTTTTGAATGATTTAATCATAAATCATTTCTTACGCCAAGCAGGTATGCTACCAGTTCGATGGATGGCACCGGAGTCTTTAGGTCTAGGTTTATTTAGTGCTGCTTCCGATGTATGGTCGTATGGTGTTTTACTGTACGAAATTATTACTTTTGGCAGCTTTCCTTTCCAAGGGATGAGCAATAATGAGGTACTAGCTCACGTAAAAGTTGGCAATTGTCTTGTTGTTCCTAAAGGCGTTAAAGCACCACTGTAAGTACTATTGATCGCAAATTGAAAAAGAAAAATAATTGAATGGAAGATGAACGATGTTTTTCTTTTTTTTTTTTCTTATCAACAGAGAAAATTTGATGTATTCTTGCTGGTCTGTAAATCAAAACGATAGACCATCAGCACCGGAGATAGTAGAATTTTTAGCAACGAATCCTCGAATTTTATCTCCTTGTTTGGATGTACCTCTCGCTAGTGTTCAATTGGAACATACTGGACAAATGGAGATGCATATAACGGATGGCGTGAGAAAATGTTCTTTGCCATGGTCGCAGAACCAACAATCACCTACACAATTATCGGATACAATATCGTCACCTAATAGGACAAATTCATCTTTACTTGAGATAGATTCTCACGATGATAATCAAAATGTTGGTTTCTGTACGAATCGAGGAGTATCCGGCCAAGATAGTACAAGTCCGTTATTAAGTTTTGAACGAAGTGTAAGAGGGCTCGTAGTTTCACGTCAGAATTCAAACAAGCAACAGAAAGACACTATGCACAAATACGTCAACCTTCTGCCAGGAATGGTGACCTCGACGAGGCAACTTAGTAAGAATGGTAATACGGGAAATGTTCAAACAGAAGAAATGGTATCTATGATGCCAACAAAAACTAAAGACACCGAGGAAATTTCCATTCTCTGATGTAGCCTCTAGTCAAAAGTTTTTTTAGAAAAATCTGTAGAGCTTAGCTGATCGGTGGCTGGCATAATATTGTACAAGAACAACAAGTATATAACGTATGTAAGAAATCGAGTTAAAAATTCAAGCAAAATGGGTATAATGTTCGAATTTAAATCAACGGTTGCTAGTACATAGTATTTATATATATCTTTTGTTAGAAATTTTAAGAGCCAAAGAATAACAGTTCTCTCGTTATACTTGTTCTATCGTGATAGTTTATGATAGAGCCAAATTGATGATCAAGCTTTGGATTGCTGCCAGAATTCCATACTATATCAGTTTTACAAGCTACTGCTATTTCAAAACAATGAATAATCAAAATATTGTTCCTTTTTAATGTACTTTCTTGATCGTGTACTTGATCGTGTGAGATCAGTACTTGTGTTGCTTTCATAGAAATACGTACATATAACGAACAAGTTTAAACACATTTGATGAAACTTTAAGTTTGTTGTTGAAGGTCTCTTAAAGTATAAATAAAACAAAGAGATCTATAATAAATACTAAATAAATGCAAGGAATATTCCGATTGAAATATAATCGGTTGAAAGATATAATAATAATAGGGCAGTTAATTAATTGCGTAACTTTTATTGTTGAAGCAATAAGATGATGTATGCGTTAAAAGAGCATCCGACAATTCGAAAAATATTTTGGAAAGAAAGTACTGGCCAATCTGGATGATCCTAAATTGTACATTGATTGACTTCCACTCGATCTACTTTTGAGACTGATACATAAATAGTTAAATTAAGCCATGTTTATTATGATCTGATGTTATCGATTTAAAGAGAGATACTATTTCATCAACGACATTATTCATACAAATGTAGATAGTTTTATAATAATTTACCGTAAGAGAAAAAAAAAATGAAACAAATTTATATTTTCTTTTATTTTCAAATATTATATACTACATATTGTCTTATCATAAAGAGATTAATCTTACTCAGTCATCGCGTTGTTTCCTCACTTTTTTTTCCATTTATTATAAATTTCTATATTTATTCATTTTTATAATAACACACAAAAAACAAGAGATAGAGTTCGACTTATATAAATAGAATAATTATAATAATAATAATAATCATCTTCATCCATAAGACTTCGGGATCGAAAAAAAAAAATACGCTACTATTTTACATAGATATATATGTAAAGTAGTAAATTATTCCCACTTTATTTGTATTTATATATTGTTATTAAAAAAAAAAAAAAAAAGAAAGTATTTTAAATATCAGGGATGATATTACACTTTCAATTGAGAGTTTTAAAGCATCTTTGTCACCGTTACGCACTTAACTGCATAATATTAATTAAAGATATTAAAATTTAATAAAAAAAAAAAAAGAAACTTTGTACTATTATATGGTACATTAACTATAGCATTTGATAAAATAATAATAATAATAGTTTTATGGAAAGAGCAAATGGCAAGAGCCATGACATTTCTTAAAACCATATTTTATCTAAGCTCGTAATAATATATTTTTCTTAGCAATTATTGAAAAAAAAATGTTCTTTATCTACAATATAATATATATATATATATATATATATATATTATCTTTCATTACGATCATTCATTTTATCAAACCGACTGTGCAACTTTGCTGTTGCCATTTTATCCTCGCTAAATATATATATATCATTTATTTAATATCTGTTTAATCGTGTTAAGTTTTTGTACAAAATATTTTTTAAATATTTATTAATTTACAAAGAGAAACTTTCTGAAATTATTTTATTATTTCTTTATTTTAATGGACAAAGACAAGTTGTTAATGGAAAAAGATTTCGATCTGTTGTTATGTCAATTTAGGATAACATTAAGAGAAGAAAAGAGTGGAAAGTTTAAAAAATTATTAATTAAACGTTGATTATATTATATATACAGACATATACAGTGTAAATGATTTTTTTTGTTTTTTGGCAGAATCCGTGCAAGTGAAATTTCATTAATTTTTTTTATAACATTCTGAGATTTTTGTGTGTCTTTTACAAAATAATATTAATAAAATGGATTATTACTTTTAAATGTCAAAGCTAAATTATAATTAATGAAAATTGTTTTTGTCAATGATGTATATAGAAAGATATTTGTTACTTTTATCATAATAATAGTTTTTAATTTATAGATATGTTTAAAGATTTATTTGTTTATTGCAGAGCATTCCTAGTCTTTTTATCCGGGAGGGGGGAGGGGAGAGGGGATTATAGTATATAAAAATAAATAACAAAGAATTCCAACACAGAGAGTGATATTACTTCTGTCATCAGTCTGGATCTATTGTGATCATCAATGTGTGTATCACACGTAAACTATAAATAATTTATTTACTACTTTATAATAAATGGCGTTAATGTGTGCTGATGTGTCGTATCAACCAACAAATTTTATCCTAATTTATAATTTTACGAAAAAAAAAAGAAAAAACGAACTATTGCCTTTTTAAAACATTTATTTTGCTGAGAGAGATTGAATATTTTACTCATAATATACAATAAATGATTATTTTTTCTTAATATGTGTATAATTAATAACAAAGTATATTATTATTATTATTATTTTGTACATATAAATGAACACCTAATATGTCTATTATACGTTCGTGAATAAGTATGTTAAAAAACATTTTTAAATTTGTAGATAGGAAAAACTTTTACACACACACAAAAAAAAGAACTCCCTGTGTATCAATGATCGAATTCAATCAATGGGCGCGAGTAAGGAGTAGTACGCTACTGTTTACGCTATGCAACATTTATGAATGGGGAAGTGGAACGTCATCGCGTAAATACCTACACTACTGCTCTCTAGTGGTTATATTACTAACTAAGATTATTGTTCACATGAAAAGTGCTCTTCCGATATTCTATATCATTCTATGTTCTTTGGTAGTAGTATAAAGTTTAACCTCACTTAAAAGATGGCGTAAAAACTCAATTTGGCTTTTAATAGACATAACGGTGTTTGGATATATGGACAACTAATTTTATAAATATACTTGTTTTATCTACCATATATATATATTTTAATAATCTAACCTATTTCGCGAATTGTTCAATATCATGTAAGTATTTTAATTCTTATTATTTATTTTTCTTTGTATAGTTATTGTTAATAACTAACTTTATTTAATAATATATTACAGTTTATACTATATAAGTGAATCAAATGGCTACGCCCTAAGTTGAAATTAAACAAAATACTGTGTGTGTGTGTATTATGTGAGTTTGACTTTTTAAGAAATATTATATGATTAATGCTGAACTTGCATTGAATTTTATAATGACATATTTTAACGACGAATATTTTATATAAATATATCAATATACAATTAAGAAGTAATATTTTGAATGGAAGTTGTCACTTTAACAATACGAGTTATGTCAAAATAATGATGATATTATAAATGGACACTTAATGAATGCATTATATGTGTTTTTTAAATGTATAACTATTAGTTACAATTAACTGTTCAATTGACGTATACAAAATGCCGGTCCAAAAGGATTCCAATATTGTGAAAATCGCTGTTCAGATGACAGATCAAGTACCACAGTTAATTGAGTTTAATCAGAAACAACCATTAACTGGTATCATTCAGGTAAATAAAAAGTCTTAATCTTGATATAATTTATTAATTAACCTATAATAATAATTATCAAATGAATTAAAAATATTGTGTGTGTTTTTTTTTTGTTATTGGTAGGAGCTGTGTAACGGATGGGGTCTTTCTGATTCAGAATTATATTCATTACAATTTTCTGAAAATAATAATCAAAATTATATAACAGAGAAGAATCGTAATGAAGTAAAAAATGGTAGTATTCTAAGATTAGAGTTTTCTCCTTCTAAGATAGCTACGGATATATTAACAAAATTGAATAGTGGAACTTCGGAGGAGAACATTGCAGCGTTACAGAAATTAAGCTCATTGAGTACCGATATGACATTTGCATTAGAATTTATCAATAAACAAGGATTAGGTCTTATTATTTCTCAGGTATTTCAATAACTGTCATATCTCTTTATTAATTCAACTAGAAATTTTCTAAAGCTATGGTTATTATTCTTTTTGTATGTATATATCTGTAGGTTGAAGGTGGAATATATAAAGGTAGCGCTTTAGCACATTCTCTTCAGTCATTCGTAGAATTGATGGATCATGGGATTGTATCTTGGGATATCTTGGAGATACCATTCATTAATAAAGTAGCGAGCTATGTGAATAATCAATCGGTATCTTTAGATACCAATATAATCGAAGCAGCACTTAGTATCTTAGAAAATATTGTTTTAAATTCATCAGGCAAATATGCACAAGTTGAAAAAGAAGTTACTTTTCCTAATTTGGTAATGCATCTGCAAAGTTCAAGTCCACAAATACAACAAAATGCTATTGCTTTGATTAACGCTTTATTTCTCAAAGCTGATACATCCAAACGGAGAGCAGTCTCCGCTACGTTGCAATCAAAGCAAGTTAGAAACGTTTTTCTTTCCAACATAATTAAATCTAGTGGACAGGTATGATACAGTTACATTTTATATCTTATACAATTATATATTTGCATTCTAATGGATATCTATTAACATTTAAATCATTATGTCAGGTTGGTGCAGAAATGGCGCATCAATTGTATGTCCTGCAAACACAAATTTTAAGCCTCTTAGAACAAAGAATGATGACAAAAATGGATCCACAAGATCAAGATGCGCATGAAAAGATAAAAGAACTTAGACGAATTGCATTTGACACGGAAGGTGGTATTGGAATAGATGTGGCTGCTCGCAAGCAAGGGTTATATGCTAAAGATTATAAAAAATTAGGTTTTAAATATGATATTAATCCTGCTCTTGATTTTACTGAAACTCCACCTGGTATGCTAGCGCTCGATTGTATGGTATATTTTGCTCGTAATCATACGGAAAATTACACGAAGGTTGTGTTAGAAAACTCTTGTCGTGCGGATGAACACGAATGCCCATTTGGTAGGACAAGTGTCGAACTTGTCAAATTATTGTGCGAGGTATATACAAAAAATTACATATTTTTATTTCGTATAACGATATAAATTATTTATTAGAATCTTACTTGTATAATTAGGTGTTACGTATTGGAGAAGCACCAAGTGAACAAGGACAGTCGTATCATCCAATGTTTTTCACACATGATCATCCATTTGAAGAATTTTATTGCGTATGTATAGTCTTGTTGAATAAAACGTGGAAAGAAATGAGAGCCACTACTGAGGATTTCGTAAAAGTATTTTCCGTTGTAAGAGAACAAATAACAAGAGCTCTCCAGTGCAAACCAACAGGATTAGATAAATTTAAAAGCAAATTACAACAGTTGACATATTCAACGATCACTAATCTTTGGCAACAAGAAAGAACTAGTCGTGAAGAGTGGGAAAGTCATGCAAGACCGATCGTTGAACTCAGAGAACAAATTACGCCTGAAATATTGGAGTTAATTCAACAGCAACGTCTTGGATTTTTAGTAGAAGGAACTAGATTTATGAAATATAGCGCTAGAGGACAAGTAATTGATTCTTATTTAAAATTGACTTTATATTATAAGTATAATTTATTAATTTACGTTTATAAATTTGCAGAGAATTAAAGATAAATTTTGGTACGTGCGTTTGTCGCCAAATCACAAAGTATTGCATTATGGAGACTGCGATGAAAAATCAGTACCGTCGATAGATGAATTACCAACAAAATTACCTATTGTTGAGATTCGGGGTTTAATAACTGGTAGAGATTGTCCTCATATGAAAGATTTACAACGAAGAAAAACGACCCATCAATTAGCATTTTCCTTAATGTTGGATTCGGTGGAAGTTTCAAGTTTAGATTTTGTTGCACCTGACGAGCAAGTTTTTGATTATTGGACGGATGGCATTAATGCCTTACTTAGTAAATTCAAATTTCTATATTATTTAGTTATCTAGTGGTATATATATATATATACTTAATATTAAATAAATTTTTTTTATCGTTTTCATAGATCATAGAATGACCAGCAAAGAAGCTGAAAATGATTTGGAAACTTTATTATCTATGGATATTAAATTAAGACTTTTGGATGCGGAAGGAATTGACATACCTCAAAATCCACCGCCAATTCCTGAACCTCCACCAAATTATGATTTCTGTTACGAGTTAAAGTAATGTGGGCAATTAATACATAATCTACATTAGATTAACTTAATATATTTAATGGTAACATGCATGCCAAATAACTGCCAGTAGTGAAATTGATGTTATTTAACGTAAGTAATCATTTTTATATGTCTAATTTAGATTATATTTATTCATTTTAACATGGCTTTTAATCTTATTACGATTTTTATAATAGAATACCAAAAATATTATTTTTTTTTTTTAACCAATTTTTATATTGACAAGTTTATACACGTATTTTTACAAATTTGTAATATATAAGGTAATCGTTTTATTTTATACAGTTAAACATTCGTAAAATAAGAGCGAAGTTTATTATTATTATTATTATTATTATTATTAGTATTATTTACAGTAATGTTTCATTATACAAATTAAAACGATAATACCCTGTATATTGCATATTGTGCGTATAATAGACTATTGCTTCACTAAGAATTATATAGAGGCCTTTTTAAACTTTTTAATTGAATTCATGTTTAAGATCAATTCAATTTTTCTGTAATACATTTAACGTGAATCGTGTTTTATAGATTTTATTATACAAATACTTGATACTATTTTGTAATAAATATATTTATGATCATAAGTATATATATATATATAGAATATATATTATTGTAATAAACTATACAATTGTATTTAAAAAATAATTTATTAAAGCGCATCGAACAAATGTTTGAATTGATGCAATAAAAAAAAAAAATGTTATTAGCATAAACGTGTACTATATAAATATGGCGGTGTTATTATAAATACGAGTAAGTGAGTGAAAAGTTCAAAAAGGCAGAGATTTTGAATGAAATAATTACATCTGTCAGATTTGCATAGAAAGTGTAGTTGTTTACAAATGATATTACATAACATCTTCAGTAAGAATTTGATAATTCTGAGGATCATTTATTCGATGATCAGAAGGACAAAGGAAGAATTCAATGAAATTAAGTACAGGACCTCTGCTAAATGGATTTAGGTATCTACCTTTTTTATCTCTTAAATATGGATATCTCTTATAATTAAACATTTCATTAGTCGTTAGGTTCATACAAGCATGGAGTACCTGTATTAAAACAAAAATATAAATAATTATTTTTGATCACATTATATATATATATATATAATATAAAATACATAAAATTTTTGAAATTAAATCAAAAGATATTGTTTAAAAAAATAAGAGATTTATATTATATTTACCGAAGTGCACGTTAATATCCATCCAAGACCACAAAAGACTAGTGCTTCTAATACACCCAAGACATATAACAATTGGATACCTTCGATAGCCATACAATAGCACGCAAAGTATAACGTAAATGAACAATTTATCGCCACACACATTACAAATAAGAAAAACCACATTCTGTAACAGATATATCTCGATGCAGAGAGAGAGACACATAAATTAACATTTGTTAGCAATATAAATTAACTCACCTGTTTCTTAATCCAACACAGTTATATATGAAAGGACAATGATGATCAAAACAAGTGACACATCTATTGCAAATTCTACAGTGTTTAGCTCTTAATGGTCTAAAACATCTGCAACTGTGACACAAACGCGATAATAAAACATTTCTTTTCTTCCATTTGTCAAAATACGGTATCTAAAAAAAAAAAAAGAAAATACAGAAGAAGAAATATTCAAATTAGAATTATCTTCGATATGAAATATAAAGATTTCAATTAATTCAAATAGAAATTTTTCATGAATAAATTACCTGTTTTATAGCTCTATAATAAGTTTCACTATTTTGTGGTACATAACCGGGATCTCTTCTATTAGCTACTATCCATGATATCCACATGACGATATTCCAATAAATAAAACAATAATGACTTCCTCGTAAAAGATTCCAAGTCAATGGAATGCATTTAAGTAAATACATAGGATAACCCCATAGTAAAACTGATATCATGAACAATAGTAATGGTCCTTTACTATTACCAGCTCCTCCAAATAATAATGCCCTATCAAAACGTTATAGATTGTTGATATAGAAATTCGTCGAGTTTTGTTTTATTTATTAAGAAAAGAATAACAAAAATTCGCTAACCAGAGTTCATTGATCGGTGGAATCCATCTAGCTCTGCGCTTTTGTTCGGCTTGTAATATGCGTACGATTTCGGAATGACGATGACTCTTAGCCAATTGTAACGGAGTTTTACCATTTTTATCTCGTGGCTCCAATTCGATCTTGCTCTTTTCGCACAATATCTTAACGCAACTAATATTACCCGATAGACAAGCTAAATGTAAAGGAGTAGATCCAAAATAATCGGGTTTCTGCAAATCGACGCCGCTGTAAATCAAAAGTCTTATTAATTCGGCGTGTCCTTTATAAGCTGCCCAATGAAGTGCGGTATCTCCATTGATATCTGTCAGATGACCCATAGCACCGGATCCAAGAAGAAAGGCGGCTGTAGCAAATTTTCCAAACATACAGGCTGTCATTAGAGGAGTCAAACCTTTAAAATCAGCAGCATTGACGGCGACCCCGGCCTAAAATTAAATTTATATTGTTAGAAGAAGAAGAAGAAGAAGAAAAAATACGTTGTTCTAATAAGATTGTCTTTTACCTTTAATAATAATTGCACTATAGCACTGTGACCCTTTCTACATGCCCAATGTATAGGCCTGGGACCTTGCGTTCCTAGACAAGAATGGTCAATTGGTCCGCTTCGTTCTATAAGATATCTCATCACCTGTTCGTATTATTCATTTATATTGAATCTTTTTCAGACTATACAATATTATCAAGAATAATGTAGATATTATTTCACGTACTTCGATGTTACCATCCAAAGCAGCCCAATGAGCAGGCGTATATCCCCATTCATCTCGGACATTTAATATGCTCAATCCATTTTTTTCTACCAATTCGTCGACCGATTCTATCTCACTACACAATAAAAACATTTCAATGAAATATCAGGAGACACATAGTAAAAGATCGTTCCTTATATTGTAATTAAAATTAACAATAAATATACAAAATTATAATCACCTTGCTCTAAGAAGATCAAAAATTTGTTTAGTTTCATCGCTTGGACTTTGGCCTGGCGCTGCCTCGGCATATATATTATCATCAGGTCCATTGCTGTCCCTTCGATTGGTATTTTTATCAGAATTTTGATTCTGATGAGTCCCACTCGAAAGCAGGTTGCTCGGTAGATGCCCGACCATGTCGGGATCGGGACTTAATTCCCATACGGATCTTGCCGCACCAGGCCCTGTTACAGGGCTCACAGGATAGACCTGTACGTATTTTTTCTAATCAATTTCATTATTTTTTTTTTTATAACAATCTCGCACAAAAAGAAAGAAAATAATTTATACCTATACATTTGTATTTATTCATTTATTTTCTTTTCTTTTTACCTTACACAGCGTCGCGAGTTCCGTGTTCAGTCGATCGTGTTCGGAAGGTGTTCGCAAACTTGCACCTTGCGTAGATGTGGAGGATACACCACCACCCTCCGGAACGGTTAGTCACAATGACACATTAGGACCAATCATATTTTATATTTTCTTTTTTTTTGTTTTTTTTTCTCAATTACCTGTACTTAACACTTTTATTTCACTTCGTATTTTTATCTTTTATTCTTATTCTTATTTTTACGTTTTCTTTTTAACATATATTGCCGAGTGTAGGTATAATTGTCAGATGAAACCGAACTTTTCTACTAGACTATCGTCATACTAATGCAACCTAATCTTTTCAGGAGTAGGTTACCTTCGTTGTTGCGCATTCGAATCAATAGCGTCGCGTCGAATGGACGCCTGCGTCTCTCGATGAAACACGCAAACCTGATGCATTTCTAATACCATCCTTAAAAATATTCTTATTCAAATTTCGCATTGATTTTGCGCAAGATTACGCATGGTCCTTTTGGTATCTTTTGAACACAATTGTCTTATCTAATTAAGATAATCGACCTATTGAAATGAATCAATCCCTTGAATTATAGCACCATATTTGTTACAGTTTTAAAATGTTTGAAAAATTGTATTTCGACAATTAGATTTAAAATGGCCAGATGACGCTTAAAATATGATCTTTTGTTTCAAATAAGTATCATTTATTTTCATGATATTAAGATTCATTTAATTGATAGAAGAATAATCTCAGAGAGATATTTGAAAAATAATGATTAATTATTGAAAAGATTATTTCAATTGATACTCGTATATTTCATTATTCGTTTTATTGAAAAAAAAAAAAGAAAAAAATGAAATATATAAGATTTATATCAAAGGTGGTGAATTTAAATGGGACATATTTTTTTATCGATCGAACAAACGGTGGTCATATAGCGTAACGAAGGGTTAGTCATACCCTAAACACCTGTGTCTTAGCTATAGAACCCACACGTGTTCTAAATATTTAGTATTAGAGTTGAACAAGACATCGTCGTGTAAGCATCGTTGATATTTTTTAAATTCGCTAAAACAATACCAAGAAAAATTCGAGATTATATTATACAAAGAATATAAATATACGTATATTTATATATATATATATGTAAATGTAGGGTGTGAAATTTAAATATCAAATAAGATTTGTTTCATACAAGAGAGAATAGGAGTATATCATAAACACACATGTCTGATAATAAAATCTACAATTTTATTTGTTCACTTAAAAAACGCGATATACAAAATACATAAACAATATTTGCATACAATATACATTTGAGAATAGAATAATCGTATCAAAATTAATCACATTGGTGATGTAAATTCTATATCTAACCACCATATGCATATCTCTTGGAAACTTATCCTCGTATGAAACCCATAGTTTAAACGAAAATGATAAACTTGTAAGAAAAAAAAAAAAAAAATTGGAAAAAGTAGGAGGTAGATAGTTCGAAGATAAAAGATTGTAGTACGACGACGTTAGAAGCGTTTTATTTGTTAAAATGGAATGAGCTAGTAAGACTTTGAAAGAGATCGAAAGACGCGCGCTTGAAGAAGGAAGATTTTTTGTGATTGTGTCGCCCTCGTGATTAATATAACTTACGTTTAGTTCGGTCAAAGTTTGCTTATGCGTTTACGTATATATATATATAAAACTATTTCTTACATCTTTGTTGGTGGTGGTGGTGTATCTGCTGCTTGCTCGTGTTGTATGTATACAAGCGCGCGTTCGCGCGCACGAATTCACGCACGCACTTACCACGTTAATTCTGTCGCCCTCTTTTCGTCTCCTGCGCGCGTGTATTTATAAACGTGAAATGGTGAAATGGCACGAGCACTCGGTTGCTTACGATATCTTCTAATCGTTGGTACCATCGTTCTTGGCGTAAGTTTATATGCTCCTCATTCCTAGATCGATTTTCATTCTATTTTCTAATCATTGTTTTTCTACTTTTCTTTTTATATATACATTTATATTGTATTTAGTTAAAATAATTTATCCTTTGACATTCCCCCTTTTCTTCTCGGTACTTTATTAACTATTTCTTTTTTATCCTCTAATCTCCTCTTTACCAATATTTGTCTTACTAATACTTGCTAATACTTGCATATGTATTGCAGCAAATAATATTTTTAAAGATAAACGAGAGTAAAGATGAAACATCTCAAAATAGCTATGAAATAATAATAATTTTGATTTGTAGGAAATTTTTTCAAGATCAAAATCATATTTATCGATTGATAAATTATTTTATCGGAATTTTTTTTTCTTCTTCTTCTTTGTCAATCGTCGACAATATTTAACACGTTGGTAGTGGAAATTGTATTTATTTTTTTTTTTTTCTTCTAACATTGATCTCTAATACCGTTTATTATTTTTATACATTTTTCGTTGTAAATTTCGTAACTCAGAGATTGCTTGAAATGTTTTTTTTTTTTTTTTTAGATTCTTCGATTTGTATCGAGGTAAATTATTTTTATCTGCGTATTTTATCTGCGCATTGTGACGTGAGATTTGTCTAATCCTAAAGAAATGTAATATATCTGTAAATAATTGATATCACTAACAATAACTGTGTAACTACAAGAAAAAAAGCATATCTTATCGTTATTAGAGAAGTTTCAGATAATCATTGAGTCATACTTTTACGAACGTGTACATTTTCTTAACTCTTCTCTTTTTTATTTTCACAGAAAAGGAAAAAGAAAAAGAAAAAGAAAAAGAATAACTATCTATGCGCGCAGTGTTTTATCTAGAATATTTTAAGATCTCATATCCGGTAATATCTATTTTACAGATTTCAGGAATAGTAGCTTCAATCTTCGCAGGATTTTTTTTGTATCAATTAGCCGAATACAAACAACTTACACCTGACAATGTTTATGGTCCGTCAATTACTCTCTTGGTTTTGGGTTTATTCACATGTGCCGTAGGTTGGTTGTCATGGCATTTTCTTGAATTTACGCAAAAGAGTCAAGTGATACTAGTAAGCAAAATAATCGATAGATCTTTACAAAAACAAACAAACAAAAATAAATATTATTGTAATAAACTGTTTGATTTTTTGTTTAGTTTGTTATAAGTTTGACGATAATTGGTATATTTGAAATAACTGGTGGAATATGGGCACTTGTCAGACACGAACAATTAGATTTTCTTCCGACTGCACGTCTTGGAACAGTATTTGTAGCTAAAGACAATCAACAATTATGGGAACACATACAAACCAAGGTAAATATATCCATTATCGGAATATTATAAATTGTTTGATCATTTTTTAATTTAATATTTAGTTTTATATGAATCAATGTAATTAAACGGTGTTTCTTTGTTTTGTTTTTTTTTATCTTCTTCTTACGCCAATCAATAATTATGAAATTTGTTTTAGTTATTTTTATGAAAAAATATCATTTATGAAAACATTATTTTACCAAAGATAAATTCATATCTATATTAATAATATATTTATTGGTATAATTATAATATTAATTAACATTTAATATTATTATTATTATTATTATTATTATAGTTTCAATGTTGCGGTATGGACGGACCAACCGATTACCGTGGACAAAATTCGGTACCGTGGTCTTGTTGCGACACATCATTGTCTTTAAAATCAAACAACGATAAATCCACTTGTACTTCCATATATGCCAGAGGTTGCCATCATGTGATGATAAGTCGTGCCAGATCGATTTTATTACATGTGTTTTTACTCAGTCTCGGTGCATTATTATTAAAAGTAAATGATACATTAACGAATTTATCCATGAAACTTCATTTATACATTTACGTTATAATTGATATTAATGAAAAAAAGACCAAAAAAAAAAGAAAAAACATTCATTTCTTTACTTTTTGTTCTTTTATGTTCTTTTTTTCTTCTTCTTTTTTTTAGATTTGTCTAATAATATGTTCAACGTGTTATGTGAAAGCATTTACGGAAAGTATAGAAAGAAGAAGACATGATGCGTTGACACGCAGAATATCCTCCCAAGTGATATATCAAGCAGATAATAATTCAAAACTTTTGAATCGACAATCGTCATTAAACGAAACGACGTAGTAATATATTGTTTGATAAAAAAAAAATAATAAATAAATAAATAAATAAATAAATAATTCAATTGTGTGTATGTTCCGCCGATCAAATTAATGAAAAGTAAGTAAGTAAGTAAGATACACATGTGCAGTTGTGAGATCGTTTTTTTGGCAAACGGATTATGGTTGAGATTTTATCATGCGATCGATTTTCTCAATGATAAGATATTGTTCAAAAAATATGACTAAAAATGACTCACCAGAAGATGAGAGTTACCAATATGACGCAATGTGATGAAAATAAAAAAAAAAAAAAAGTAAAAAAGTAACCATTTACGAAATAAAGAACATATTTTCTATGACATCAATGAGATTTCTCTTATCATGTTTTCTAGATAAATTAATATCTTTTTTTTTTTTTTATATTGCTTTTAATTGTTAGAAAATAATTTGCTATAGGGAAAATAGATTTGATTATCTTTATAAACAAATCTTCGTGTAAGTTAATTTATAAGAAATTAATAATAAAAGATAATAAAACAAAAACAAAAAAAAAAAGGATTATCTCTCTCGTTTGTATATTTTACGTTAGTTGTGTTCGTTTTTTTTTTAAAAAGTATCACAATTGTATTTTTTTGTTTTTCCTTTCAAATTCATAAAAATTCGCGACACAGTTTGCGCACCACTGCTTTAGAGGACATATATACAATAAATGTATATATATGTGTGTTATGTCCTTGCTTAAGAAAGTACGTCTCTATATGTATAATCTTAAATGATCTGAACAAATAATTTCGTTGAAATTTTATCTCACAATGTTATATAAAAAAAATTATATATTATTATTAAAAATTGATAATAATATTTATATTGTATATATGACATCGAGCCATCATATTTTGTTTAAAATAAAATTTAAAAAAAACAAGATAACGCATGATTTAAAAAAATATAATTAACAAAATATATATTTCAATATATAAATAATAAATATATAATACATTATGTAAAATTATATAAATGTATAATATAGCTTTGAACAGTGGACGGATTTTAAAAGAAAAAGAAGAAACAAATCAATTAATCTCAACGTGGAAAAACAAAAAAAAAAAGAAAAATTATATTTTAATAATATGAATGAAAATCGTTCGTGGGTGTGTGTGTGTACATTTTCAAAATATGGCAGGAAATAAAATAATAGAAAACCTGCTGATAACTTGAAAGAACAAACAAATGTTACGAGACGGACGAGAACATGAATCATACATTAAGGAGAGAAAAAGAGAAAGAAAGAGTGTTGTTATGTGTGTGTGTGTGGTAGGTATATATAGGTGTGTGTGTGTATGTTATGTTGTGCAAGAAAGAGAGGGAGGAAGGAGATGGGATAAAGGAAAGAGAGTGGGGATAACTATACGTAAACGTGTAACCGAAATCGGAGAATAGTGTAACCAGTTGTAGACCAACAGTCGTTCAGTTAAATTTCAATCGTCTTGTTCTGTGGTAGGTTATTTTGTGTATCTCACGTATCACACAATAATAAATAACCTGTTGAACTTTTATTTAATTTTGATAAACGTTTAACGGTGTCAAGTGATTTATTTCTTCTTCTTCTTTTTTTTTTTTAAATTTTGTATTTTGTTCAGAATCCAAAGGAAACATTCAAGATGGGTTGTGGACTGGGATTAATAAAATATCTTCTATTTATATTTAATTTCATCTTCGCAGTACGTACTCATTTATATCTTCAATCTATAAATATATATAAATGTATATGTAATAATATATAATTATAACATTATATATGTATGTATATATACGTATGTGGATGATGGGTGGGTCGGTATAGTTGAAAAGTTTGAAGTTTGAAGTTTAACGATAGACACCATTTTCTTCTTCGTTTTCCAAGCTCAATTTTATTTTTTCAATGTAGTAATCTTGTAACTTTTACAAAATGTATATATAATGTTAAATTTTTATCATGAAATTATTTTGAAATTAAATACGTGCAAGAGAAAGAATTACGAACGTGTAAACGAATGTATGTATATATACGTACGTGAGTGGGTGGGTATAGTTGAAAAGTTTGAAGTTTGAAGTTTAACGATAGACACCATTTTCTTCTTTGTTTTTCAAGCTCAATTTTATTTTTCCAATGTAGTAATCTTATAACTTTTACAAAATGTATATAATGTTAAATATTTTATCATGAAATTATTTTGAGAGAGATTAAATACGTGCAAGAGAAAGAATTACGAACGTGTAAACGAAGTTTATCTACGATTAAATGTATCTAATCAGGGGATGTAAAGAAAAGAATAAAAATATCGCTCTTATCGTGAGCGTTAATTTAAAAACACTCCCGAAAAAGTATTTGCGAATTTTTTTCTTTTTTTTTTTCTTTTTAATTTGCGGTTTCCTTTTCTTTTTTTTTTCTTTTTTTTTAATCGTTAGAAACAACGCCAATTATAAGAATGTAATCTAATCGAGTATTTAGATATGCGTATATTTTTTACATTGCAATTTCATTGGTTTTTATTTGCCCATGACGCATATTATTTCACATCATGGAAGTTTGGAAAAGGAAAAAATCAAAATAAAAAAAAATAAATCAACCGCAAGTTTCCTCTTACAATTCGTTATTGCAATCTCTTCTAACAACGATAAAACGTTTCATTAGCAAATTCCTTTTGTTTAACTTGAAATGCATTCGTTGAGGCTGTTTTTTTTTTCCTTTCTTTCTTTCTTTCTTTCAAATATATATTCTTAACACGTTTTTCTTGTCTTCATAGATGAATAGCAAAAGAATTAGTACCTGTCATACGTTATGAATTATCACGTTAAAAGGAAGCGCAAAATGAAAGACAATTGGATAATAATTTTGCGTAGGTGTTGGTTATAAACGAACGTTAATAATACAAAATAGCGAATAAAACGAATCTTTGTAGTTTAAAGAGAATAATTTTAGGGTGTATTTCCTCAACACTTAGCCGACCACTCAAGTAGATCTACCATTTTCTACCATTTTCATCTGAGGAACGCTTCTTTCTCTATAAAGCTTCTTATTTATATAGAGTAGTACAACATAGAATAAAATGGCATCAATTTTTCAAATCTTTTATTGCTCATTATTACGATTTTTTATTTTCGGGATTTTCAATGGTATCTTTTTGCCAACCATAAAATTATTTTCAACAATATTAAAATACATTACTACCCTTTTTTTGTTCCATATTTGAGTTACGTTATTTATTCGTCATTTTTACTGTTCTTAATTTTTTGACTCTATATATATATAATTATTAAAAAATAATTATTATAAACTTTTAATTTCGAATTTTGTATAAACAATATGTGATAATCGTTGAACCAAATTATTACCGTAAGATATAATTGATCATATAACAAATGTTCGGACGTTTTTAATTACAAATAGCGAATTTTATTCCGTGCTACTTCAAAAAAGTGCGCAGTGGAGAGCGCAGTTTGGTTTTTCCGAGCGCAATGAAAATTGTAGAGGTCTCTGTGGTGCGTTCGGTCGGCTAAGTGTTAAGAAGAAGAAGAAGAAGAAGAAGAAGAGGAAGGAAGAGTCTTTAAATCTAAATCTTACGTTCGAATAAATTTCAAATCCTTGTAGAAAACAAAATGTAATATGACATCATTATTATCATTATCATCATTATCATCGTTGTCCATCGTTGGTTTTTTTTTTGTTACGAGTAAAATACTTAATAACGATGGTTATTAAAATGAATAATAATTTTGTAAGACCAAAGTTTATTCAAAGTTTTACCAGAAATCAAAATATTAAGAAAAGATCGAATTTCTAGAAATAAGTATGATATCATCATTCACGTTTTCCTTTCTCTTTGATATTTTTCTACCATATTATTATCGTTATTTCTTTGAACACTCATCATATATATATATACAGAGATAGGTATTATATTTTATGTATGATAAATGTTTACCGATTGAAATCTGAAATATTGGAGGAAAGTTCTAATGAATTTGTTCTTTTTAATCTTTTATCGATGAATTCGGAAAAATTTTTCAAGTGTGTCTCCATATACGAATTTGGATAATAAATTGATATAAATATTGGATAACGATTATTTTAATTATATTAATAAAGAAAAATATATCTATTAATTTAAGATATATAATTGATATAATAATAATAATAATAAGAAGAAATAAATATAGAATAAAATATAATATACAAATTGATATCAATTTTATTCTATATATATAATTTTAAAGTAAGTTTACTTAGAAAAATATAAATATCAATTTTGATGATCGAGATAAAAAAAGAAAAAAAAAGATGATACGTCGGTGTTAATGTAATCTATTCTTGTAAAGAACATTTCATGATAAATTATTTATCATTCGTATTATCAATTAATCTTTTATACACAAGTTAATTACTTTTCTTGCTTTTGAAGTAAAGAGGGGGGTGTAGCAGCTATCAATTTCACGATTGATTCGAATATACATTGGAAGTTGAGAAACACTGATACGTATATATATATTATCTATATTATCTATATTATTAAAGTGTTGTTGTCGTCTCATTGGATACTATCGGATTGATTACGTGATTCAAATGTTATTCGAAGTATTATAAAAAATTTGTAAATAGTATGAAAACAAAAATAACCTACAAATAACAATCGACTGCAACGTGTTTAGGATACACCTGTAAAAAAAAAAAAATAAAGGAACTCTTTCATGAAATTTCAAGGCCAAATAAAGTCAGTCAGTCCGCCCTTGCGCAAATACACCTGCGATAATCTCGAACTAAATTATTCCACACGTGAGAAGAAATAGATAGGTTTACAATGCGAATAATATTATTGCGTGTGTAAAGTTTCCAAGGATTTTTTTCCGATATACCCAATACGATATCGCTATAATTTTCTATTTTATCGCGATGGATGAACAATTGTATAAGTGTTTTTTTAACGGGTAAAGATCGAGTAATGTTCTATTTTTTATTTTTGTTTTATTTTTTTTTTTTTATTTTTTTATATTTTCAATTTTTATTCAATTACTTTAAAAGATAAAAAATTTACGATTTATTAATTTAAATAATCGTCGATATATGTTTTTAGGGTTTAACCAAATTTTGGTTTTTTTTTTTTATTAAATGCAATAAAATGTAGAAAATCTAACAAATAATTAATATCAAAACTATTATTATTTTATTTGATATTTAAACAATACTTGTAGTTTTTGTTTTGTTGTTTAATTACTTGTTCAATTATTCCGGTTAATATTTCGATTTAATTTGTTATAGTGTTTTTTGTTTTTTGTTTTTGTTTTGTTTAATTAAATAAAGAAAGCGTCACACGTTAAAGGTGACTCAATAGTTCTAGAAAAAATTGTTTCGTCACGTGTTAGCGTGATGACCTCATACTATAAAATAAAACTATTACTATCAGGCCCATTTAAAGGATAAAATACGTTCATTTAATTGCGTAATATATAATGTAATAAAAATGACAAAAACAAAGAAAATAGTTCAAATGTGTATTATTTGAATATATTATACCCGTGTTACTCGACGGTATTTAACAAGTTTTTTTTCATTGGTTTATATTTTTAAAATAACATATATGATACATTATTTCGTGACAAGCTAGTATTAGAATATCTAAGTCATTAGAAGTATAATAATAATAATAATAATAATAATAATAACAACGATTAGATAACATAAACATAAATATATTTAATAAAATAAAAATGTATATATATATAAAAGTATTTTGAAAAAAGATGCATTAATTTAATAACTCTTGTTTCAATAAATAACTAATTAAATAACTCTTGTTTGATATAAATTATTATATTATTTATGTATAAATACACATTACCTGTATAATTGATTTTTTTCTTCTTGTATACTCAATGAACAATATTGATTGTTGTTACAGTTATGCGGTCTAGCTATTCTCATAGTTGGTGTATTAATGCACATAAATATTAACAATTACCAAGATGCTATACATGAAAATATTTCTTTCCCTTCGATTACGTTCATCGTCATTGGCAGTATTATTTTTGTCATTGCATTCTTCGGATGTTGCGGAGCTATACGTGAAAGTCATTGCATGACGATAACCGTGAGTATTCCATATTTATTAATGTTAAACATATTATCATGATTGCTTTTTAAATATAATTTGACTTAGTCATCTTATATAGTCTACTAATCAAACTTTTTCATTTTAAATATACGATTATTAGTCTAACCTTGACCCAGACTGTTTAAAATATGCCAAATACAATCATTTATCAATATTGACAAAATTCGTAATACAATTGTTCAGCTGGAATTGATTTTGGAATCTTTCAAAATTGTTAATTAAATCAATTCTTTATATATATATATATATATATGTTTATATACAATGTGTTCGTTTCAGTTTGCATCGTTCCTACTTACGATATTTATAGTACAAGTTGCTGTTGCGATCTACGCATTTGTTGTCTTCAAAGATTCTAATATAGATGTTAATAAATCTTACTCTAAATTATTCAACGAATATTGGAATACTAGTACGAGTCGAGAAATTGTAGATATCGTTCAGAAGAATGTAAGTATGACAATGTTTTAATGTTGTTTATTTTTTTTTTTTTGTATTTTATTATTTTTTCGTTATAAATTATTACTTGAATTATCTTCTTTCTATAGATATATTATATTATATTATATAATGCTTGTACTCTCTTAATTTGATTTAGATTTTGTATCATATGAGATTTTTCTAAATCTTTGATAATCACGTTTAAAGGAAAATTCTTGATTTAAAGTGTATTTATTATAAGATCATGTTATTAATAAGGGTACATAATCCCTGTAATGAAAAAAGGGGTAGTAATTGTACATAAATTTAATACACATATATATATATTTATATTTATTTCTCATTTTGTAGTTGGAATGTTGTGGTATCAATTCAAAAGCTGATTACCAAGGAAGCGCTCCTTTCAATGGGACTATACCTTGGAGTTGTTGCAGTGACGTTGAACAGTTCTCAGTATGTCCAAATAATCAGGCCTTTAACCAAGGATGTGCCAAGGCCTTAAAAGAATTCCTTGTTTATGCTGGAGCAGTATTGGGTGGTGTTGCAATTGGTATAGCTGCAGTCGAAGTAAGTTTATCGATTTTTTAAAGAAATATTTATTATTTTTAAAGATATCAACAGGAGAGACACTGATGAAATGTTTTAATTGATTTTTTTCTCTTTTTCATTATTTGCAGTTGATCGGTATTATATTCGCACTATGCCTAGCAAATTCGATTAAGAATTCTGAAAGAAGAGGTTACAGGGTATAAAGGAGAGTAAATCAATAATAATATCAAAAATAATAACAACAACAACAACAACAAAAACAACAACAACTTAAAGAGTATTATTTTTCTTGTTTAATAATATATCTAATTATTTTCTTTTTTTTCTTTTTCTTTTTCTTTTTCTTTTTCTTTTTCTTTTTCTTTTTATTATCCTCTACTACATTTTTTATAGCATACAAAAAATTAATGATAAAACTAATTTTGATAATAGGAAGCAATGTTCGTATTTGTTTTTTTTTTGGTTCTTTTACACAAACACGTAAATGCCGTGTTGTATTTTTTTGAATTTCAAGAAATTTGATAAATTGGAAAGGGAAGAATAATTGCATAAATTGAATTGGTATTGGTTTATGTATTACCTTTTTCTTTTTTTTTTTTTTGTTCTTTTTAATTTTCTTCTTGTTATATCGTTTGGAAAACAAGAAAAACAAAAACACAGACGTGTTTAAGACAAAAAAATATATATATATATATATATATATATATATAATTTGATCGATACCGATCTGGTAATTTTTGTAACGACAAATGATAAAAAAAATTTCAACTATTTTATTTTATACATATATATATATATATATATATATATATA